TCCAGACCCCAATCGTAAATTCGAGATCCACCCTGTGCCGCCCACGGTTCCATTGAAACTCCTTACTCGGCAGATTATGACTTTGACGGTGTTTGCGCCGCTTCAAGATCCCAATTGGACGGGCCTGCTGCTCTACAAAGCAATATTGCTCCCTCTGCAGGCCCTTTTAAGGGGCAACCGATTTCTTAGAGGATCATGCAGAGTTGCCCGTATCTCCGTTCAGGTCACTATGGCCATTGCCAACTTAAGGAATGTGAGGACAACATTGCTGTTGCTTTTATCCAATAACTTCTTCTGCCTGATGTGTTGATTCATGTAAATAGGGGGTTATCCAACAAAGATATGGACCGCATATTCTAGTCCAAGCTTACATTCACCGGGGCCAAGCCATTGTGAGATTAGCGTATTTTTGTTGACCCGCAGTCATGTGGGTATGGGTCAAAATGAAACCACCAGGGGACCGCAGGTTTTAGTCCTTGGTTCCATTTACCAGGGTTTCATTTGGGGTTACCGTATCTTTTGACCCACGGTCATTTGACACTGCTCTCGTGTTTCGTTTGCTTCACCTGAAGAATCGTTTCGCCAGGCAGGCGCTGCCCCCTGCGGAGCAAAAGAGGCGCTGGTGGCATGTTGAAGGTCTGTCTGAGGCGGTACCAGGGCCCAAACAAGGCTTCGGTGTGCCTGGAATGTAAACCCTTGACCAAAACCAAAGGGGAACCAACCCGAAGGGGAGTTTGCGGCTAGGGACACCCTTGAAAGAACCACCTAAAAGGGTACCAATTCCAGAACACACGCCCAACAAGTGATATGCAAGCCATTTGATCGCCACGTGTCTTGGGTTGGGTTTGTTGCAGAATGGGTATCCTTCACTTCAGAGTGGGGAATCTCAGTCCAAATCTGACCTTGTCACCTTTTGGTTTCCTTTTTATTGTTGTTATTGTTTATTTATTTTCAGTCACACAATTTGTGATCACCTTGTGTTCTGAGGCAAGTTTCGGCATGCGTATTGCTCCGGCCGCGGCTTCCCCTCATGACTGCCGAACCTGGCTGCTGACAGCCTCCAATGGGGGAAGCCACCGCAGCCGGGTCCCAACAACCGCCTGCGTTTTCAAGCATGCAACAAACCTCCCCTTTCGTTCGGTAGCCAAAAAGCAGTTGCTCTGGACCCGAAGTGTGGTGCGGGTGCTGGCAGGAAGTGTGGCAACTGAAAAGCATGTTGAGAATACGTTTTCCGTCATTCCCGGCACCCGGCTGTTTCCACCATGTCCAGAAAGAAGTGTCCCAAAAAGCAGGTGGCAGCCGGGGGAGTCTGCCTTCGCGCGGTACGCCCGGAGCTTAGAGTCGGACCAATGAAGGGATTTGGACCTGGTGCCCGGACCTGTTTTGAGGCTTCGTACCCCTTTGTTTTGAGGTTTTAGAGGGTCCGCCAAAAGACGCCCAATGGGATGGAGCTGTGAGCAATTCCGTATATCGGGAGTGCAAGGACAGAGTCTGTGAGGAATGTAGCAAGCTTCGAATGGATGTGGTTCGCTGAAAGGATCCTTCCAGATGAAATAGTGACGGAAGTATATGGAACCCTTCGCAAGTGGGGCAGGGCTGTTTGGGAACAGAGGATCATACAGTTGTCTTGTGGTGCACTAGAACACAATAGGCTGCTGCGCAATTTCAATTGTGTTGCTCAGACGTATTTCAGGGTTTGTGAGCTTGTTTCGGTTTCTTTGGAAGGAGTTCTATAGAGAAATGGCGAGGGCAGATGCACCTAAAGTCTCCATGACTCTTTAAAAATGGGGTCATTACCCGAAATAATGGGGTCATGGACCTATGTTTAAAGGGTCATGGAGACTCCAGGCAGACCCATGATCCCGCCAAAATCCATGAACATGGACTCAGCGCTGACGTGTGGGAGGCTGTGGTGGGAGCGTGTTGGGAGCGTTTGTTGAAGCTCGATTGAGCTCTTGGCTCATTGGGGCCAAAAGCCAAACCGGGCGCCGGGCGTGGCATGCCTATTGGAGGGTTGGAGCACCTGACGGTGCAGAGACTCAAGACGAAAATGACTTGAGACTTCCAGACTCTCAGAAGGTGTCATAGGATATTGCCCGCCCCTGCCCGCACAGTGGGTGATGCACTTACTTTTTTTTGCCCGAACACCACTAAAACCGTCTGAGTGTAAGCAGCATGCCAGTGCATTCCGAATTCCATCCCTGGGTGTTCCAGCTGCACAGGTGTACCCGTGGCTGGTTCTCTCTCTTGTGCTTTCCCCTGTTGCCCTTGTTTCAAAATCATTTTTATTACAGAGAGGCGCGGTGCACTCTTGTCCACAGAGCCAGCCTGTCTTTCAGCAGAGTCACTTCCGAGCCAAGCAAATACAGGGAAACCCCCAAACAACAACCAAACAGGTAGAACATCGAGTAGATTTTCCTTTCGTGTTCCTTTTTCAGGGGCCAAGGCTCAAAACTCGGGGGGTCAAGCAATCACAAAAATATCCTTCTCCAAAACGATCTATTTTGTTTGAATGCAAATTGAACGGCCCTCCCCCCCCCCCCGGTTTTTTATGGCCAAACCTCGCGTATCCGAGACCCTGGTGATGCCGGCGGGGCCCTCCTACGTGGTCTTCAACGACGGAGTGCTGTGCATGCAGGGCACCACCAGGCGATTCGGGGCCACAGCCGGGTGTCTGTCTTTTAGGGACTCGCCTGAACTGGTGGTCCCCCCAACATTCGGTTCTCCTTTAGGTGTCCCTCCAAACCCAACCAATAGGGGGTTCCCCTAATTTTTTTGGGGGGTGAATCTGAAGCGGGGGATCTCCACATCGGTCAGCCAAACAGCCCACGACTCGACCGTTTCGGGGGTGGCAGGCTGGCAAAACGAGAGCTTGCAGACCGCGGAGGGCACATCCATATGGCTCCTTACCACATGTGGGAAGGATCGTGTTGGTTAGGTCTAGTGAAACGTATTAACGTTACAATTTGGTTCCTTTGTCCCCAAACTCATTGGTCAACTCACTCTGTGATAGTTTGCTGGAAAGATCAGCCTGAAGCCGGGGCCAACAAGACTCCACGGGGCTGCCAAATGGTTGGCTGAATCCGCCAAACGGGGCCAGAGTCATCCAACATGCTCGTGTTGCCGTGAAGTCGAGCGAGCGAGTGGCAATCTCTCGCGCATTTTGCTTTCTCCTCGAAGGGCTCAAGTAACCTGCTGGGCGACCCTTGCATCTCAGTTAGACGAAGGTTTGTCTTGGCCCTGAGTTGATTGATTTGGCTGAGCACAAGAACCTCGCAACAGGTTTGCGTACCACTCCAAATTTGCCAGTTGCTTGACACTTAGATTGGCCAGGTGAATGAGAAGCGATCTTTGAAATGAACGGAAATGACATATGTCTCGCACAACTTTGACACACACACACGCGCATGCCGCTCATATGCGTATTACATACAATCACATATACTGTAACTATATATATATATACACATATATATATATATACATGTTTAACCATGATGATATCATATTGACCGTGGCTCACATAAGAAAAGGTTTTTTTTGGTGCGCATACTTTTCTTCCAGGGTTCTGAGCCGTGTGCTGCAGCCCCATCTTTCGCAATGGGTTGGGAGAAATTGGACTTCAAGCTTGGGCCGTTGGGCACCCTGTTTCCAGCTGTTGTTCTTCCCAGCCCCAGCTGGTTCCCGTCTGGAACCACGTGGAAGCTGCGGCCCTTTCCCCGTGAAAGCCACTGTGTCGATCGCACGGCAGGACCACGTTGCCCAAGACAGGCACCAGACGCGAGAGGTTCGATGCTCGCGTCTTAATGGTTGGTCGAGAAAGCGCTTTCTCGAGGGAGGGTAGAGCTACTTGATCCCATGATCCGAAGTGTGTGCTATCACCTTGCTGGTCTCCCTGGAAAATATTTATGAGTTCTTCATCCACTTTCTCCTGTAGGGTCCCTTAAACTTAACACGTGTTTTTTCGTCTAGTTGCTCATGAAATACACCTTCGGAGCGCCTGCACCTGAAGCCACGGGGGGGGGGGGGGGGGGCGACCCATGATATATATCCTGGAGCTTTGTTCGATCATTTCGCATGGAGCCGTGGCTCCTTTGGTGCACCTCTGGAGCGTACCGGCTGAGGCACCCATGAAGAACCACCCAACATTGAACAGTTGAAGTGACGGCGCATGAGTTCTAGGTGTAACTTCCCCATTCTTTCCCGGGTTTGTTTTTGAAAAGAACCATGGCTGAAAAGAATGGGGAATCAACCCCTAGATGAGTCAGTGATTGAACACAGAGCATTCAGAGTCGGCAGAACGGCCGTCCCCGTGTTCAAGCTCATTCACTGTCACGTCTCACCCTTTCGCCGTCCGGCCTAAGGCCTGGATGTGCAGGAGTTAACGAAGTGCATGTCATTCCGGTTTCCTTCCTACTGCGCGGCGGGCAGATAATTCCTCCGAGAAGCATCTGCCAGCTGGGCCCAAGCAACGACGAGTATAAATGAATAACGCGATTTCATGAGTTCGGCGGTTGGGCAACATTTGGTGACAGGCAGCTGTGAGCAATTTCAAGCCGTGCCGCCGGGTTCAAATCTAGTCGTCCGCGTAGATCATTCATGCTACGAAATCTGAGAGACGAACCAGTACAATGACAACATGCGCATATATATATATATACACATAGACATACATATACACAGCTTGAACAGTTGCAGCAGGCTCCTGGCAAAGTTGGCACATGCGTCGGTGATGACAAGGGCGCTAGTTTGGTTTTTGGTCCTTGGAGCAAGTCGCAGGAAAAGACGTGTCCTTCCAATAGCATCGCCTGGTGACACAACCAGCAGTCTCCCAGACCTGAAGCAACACGGAAGCGCCCACGCGCATGCCACGCCGCAATCAGGACACCTGGATCGTATGCTGTTGAGTTCATGTTCAAGGCACTACTCCTATGGTGTGTCTTAAGAAGATGGAGCATTCGTTGCCAACCTCCATCCCAAGTTCATGCAAGCCCAACATCTGCTGTTCGCACGCGTGAGCCGTGCACGCGGACGCGGCTTGGCTGTTGACGGCTCGCTCGCGCGAGCGAGCCATGGTGCTCAATGGCCGTTGCAAGGCCCAAGGGAAAGGATCGAAACGGGATATGAATTCCAGGTCAGTGAGCGAGCCTGCATTCGTTCCTTAGTTTGTGTGGGGGATTTGTGTTTTTGTGTGTTGGTTGTTTCGAATGGTGGTTTGGGCTGGGTTTTTTGAGTGGTTTGGGGCGAAATATTAGATTGGCGGAAGGTTGAACACGTTGAACACAAACTTAACAGCGGAAGTTGGACGGCTGCTTCGATATGCGACATGAAGAGATCAGCCCTTATGGACTTTTGTCAACAGGAAGGTAAGGCGTTTGTTCAATGAAGCATGTGAAGGCATGAGGTGTTCTGTGCTGGTGAAGAGCGGCTGGTGCAGATGAACATGGAACTCAACAAGCCCTCACTTTTGGACTCTTCTGGGGGACTGCTTTTTGTTGTGTTAGTTGCATGTCAAATAGCAGAAGACTAAACGTGAATGGATGTTGGTAGCCGCAAACAGCGGGAGCTAGCGTTACAAGGAATATGTGAATTCCTGCCAAAGCCACCCAAGGATCTTGGCGGTTCCCAGCCATCCCCTTTCGTTTTTAGTTTTCTTTGGGTTTAGTTGGGGTGTCCATTCATTAATTAAACCCACAAGTTAAACTTTGATCAGGGGATCTGAGGACAGCCCAAGGAAAGCACATTTGCCATGCCGCCAACTCCGCACTGCAACAACCCAAACGGGCGGCCCGTTTTCCCCCAAGTTTTGCCCATGACAGGCCGAGGCTGTTGGCACTTCTTTGGCTGCTTCAGGATGCAGGCGCAAAACATGTGTGCCATGCTTGAAAAAACGTTAATTGCTTGGGGCTGCCAGGTCATCAACCCTTTAGTACGTTAGTCGCCATATGAGTCACAATCAAAACCTGGCACTGGGTAAGTGAAGGTTAGTAAGGGGCACTCCCAGCCATAAATGGTTGCGGCCGCCTTTTCAATTCCCTACATGGTTCTGGGTTCGTTATTTTTGCAACAGGTTTTGATTCTGACTCAAGGATTCTTATAAAGGGAACCAAGGCCGTAACCCACAGGAGGTTGGATCTTCCGTTGCCAGGACACCAAGAGCCCAATTCGACGATTCTCAGAAGTTCGGACTGCTACAGTGCGTAACTCGCCAACTTGCCAACGGTCTCGTGCATGTTCTTAACGCCGGCCGGCTGATCAATTACTCAACCCCCAGCTCCAACTAGTGGAAGCGCCTAGCCCGAATCAGGGCCCCTTCCCCCTTACAGCCCGTACATTTTCCCCTTGCTGATACAAGGGAGAATGGTCCTTTTTTTCCACGGGCTGGGATCGCAATTCGCCAAAAAAGGCGTTGCACGCTGTATTTCCACTTGCCAGGGGCAGAGGCGGGGCATCAATCCTAGCCGGTGCCATTGTTTTTGCATATTAATAGCTTGGTCGAACTGATTGAATCCTGTTGGCTTCATCCATAAGGCTCCTATCTAAACTGTTGGTCCATGGGGCTGCCTTTTGGTCTCCTGGGAATGCGATGAAATCTGTGGTTGTGTTCTGTTGGCAGTTGGAACTCAGGACAGCTTGGCAGACCAGACATATCACCAAAGGGTGTCCAAGTCAATGTCTTGCAACTCTCACTTGTTAAATGAAAGCCAGGAATCATGGAGCCAATAGCGGATCAAGCTGGTGCTGTCGCTTGAAGTCTCGGACAAAGAGATGCCAGAGCAAAACAGACGCCACTCACCGCATTCTGACATCATGGCTCAGGGTGATGATGATTCGGGCTGTCGTTTTGTGAGCTGGTACCCCTTTGATGGGTTTCAAGGCAAACTAAGAGAAACACCAATATATATATATATATACTTGTATATTATATAAGTATATCTATATATATATATATATATGTATATGTATCTATATCATGTTTGTTTTGTTGGGCGGGGGTCTCGGCGGGTCCAAATCCAAAAAAGAGAGAGATCCACAAAGAGAGCGATCCATTTGGCTGAAATCCATCAGGCGCTTCGGTGTGCTGCCCCGGCTGTTCGCTAGGGCCCAAGTTGCCTCATCCGTTAGCACGCCAATAGGATGAGGCGACAGAAAGAGGCGGTTGCTGTGTGCTACATGGGCGGTTTGTGCTTTTTGCTGCGGTTTTCGGGGAATCCATTTGTGAGCAATGTGGTTTGTCGTTTCTTTGGTTGAACGTGGTTCTAAATGTTATCAAATTGTGATTCAGCTTGCTCATTGTGAGCCAGAGCGGGAGACTGGCAGGAAGCCGATTCCAATGGGCTAGCTGCAGATCAGTTCCCGAGTTAGTCTTTCAACTTCGATCCGTATCCATCGCGCGGTCCCTAAGTGGCCGAAGCGGTTGGTCCCAAAAGACGGGCGAGTTGCTGAACTTCTCAAGGCCCAAAGCCCCGATGCCAGAATTTGGTTGCACGAGTTCTGGTCTGAATGACGCATTCATCAATCAGATTCAGAGGTTAGGTGCCCTGCGCTGGGAGAATGTGTGCACCAAGCTACCCAACACATGGAGTTGGCTTCGAGGTGCACCCTACCAAGAAGGTTCCTCAGTGGAACAAACATCAGGCCTAGGCTAAAATCAAAGCCGCGAGCCTCTCTTGTGCTGGCACGGATGTCTCCTTGAGGCAGGGAGTTTGTCCCTGTGAAGTCCGCCGGAAACAAATGCATTTGTTTTTGAGTGCCCACGGAAATCCCTTAAGGACTCCAATTGGAGTTGTGTGGATTGGCAGGTGCCCTTGAAGTGCCACATGGAAATCGTCGGCGGCCCAGGTGCGACCTGCACCTCGTAGAGGACTTGGATGCGATGATGCAGGGCTTAGGCTCCTCGCTGCCGGATCCGCGGGTGTGTGCGCGTGTTTGAGCAGCTTTGGACCGAAGGCACGTTTTTCGGGCCCATCAATAGCAAGGGATGAGCAAAGTTGCTTCGGAAGCAAATGTTGCTTCAGGTTTCACTGTCCTCAGATTCATCTATGGTGGACCCATCCAGTCAGGGACCAGAAATAGATCATTGCCCTTGTAGGGCTTGCCATCCCTCAGTGCGGTCCTCCAGACTATCCAAAGTCATCATGAAACACCTTGAGTGGCCTACAGCTGGCTTGGCACTTGTCGCCTTCTCGAGTGCTGTCTCACCCTCAAATTCTGGGAAGAGCATGCGACTTAGCAGAACTTGCCATGGGCCAACATCCACAACCTCGCCAGATGACCAAACGTGCTGCAAGTGCTTGAACCAACCCTCATACGTGCTGACTTGCAGTGTAATGTGTGCCTGAATGGGCGCGCCGGTTCGTAAGTGCATCTTGTTCGTCATGAGGATGGTAAACCTTACGCTAGCTTTAAGCTTCGAACGCGGAATTCATGGCAAAAGGCTCCATTTGCTCTTTTGTGGGACTACCATGGAGCTGGGGAAGTTTCAGCGCGGCTCGGCAGGCTACGACCGCTGTGTGGACGATGGGCCTTGTGAGAAATGCCGGGCGCCACGGCCGCCGCGATTCGATGGGTTTGTCCAGGCACGGACATCAAGAGGAGGGGTTTTGGAAGAAGATCATTTCGAGGCCTGCCATTTTCAGTGGCGAAGTTCGGTTTGTGCTTATTTTTGCTTTGTGCTCATTGCAGATTTGAAGGCTTGCAGTTGTCCGGGTCCCTCAGTTTCTGGAAGGACAAGCCTGCCCGGCCGCAGGGGAATATTGTATATATAAATATATATATGTATCTGTGTATACGCATACAGAACTATATGTATATATTCCCCAGGTATATGTCCGAACAACCTTGCAACATGCCCTGACAAATTGGATGAACTACAAGCAAAATTGGGTCAAGTGTTCTCTCCGGTTGGAGATGCCTAACACACACTTCGACAAGAAATCACCCTCCAGCCAAACATGGAAGCTCCCAGGACCCCCTTTGAACGACTTGGCTCCATTTATCGAGGCCTTCTGGGAGCTTCCATGTTTGCCTGTGGGGAGTGTGTCTGATGACAGGCTATGGTTTAGCATGCCCCGTCCGATCAATTGGCCGGCTGGGCGAACGGAGTCCTGAGGGCTGAAGGATTTGTCGGACAGGGGTTAGGGCCGCCAGACACGGTGTGGACAAGTTGGGTGCAGACTTTTGGGTTCTTAGACAGAAACTGATCGCCAAGCTGCGCCAAGTTGGCAATTCCTGAGAGTGCATCACCCCTTTGTTGCCCTGGGGCCCTAAATGTCCTGAAGCACCTTGGTTGTCGTTGCTTCCCCTCACCCCTCCGGCAAAAGCTTATTTTAAATATGCGTCAGGTGTTTAGATATGTAACCATAATTGGCATATATGTGTATCTGCATGTATGTATGCACAGTCTTAGTCAGGATACTGTGGAAGCCCTAAATACTGCAAGTTCCGCCACGTGGGATGTGGACACTGGTTCCCTGGCACCCCTCACTGCGTGCGAACCCGTCTCCCCCACCTACAATGTTGAAGCCAAGCGCGTAACCCTTCTTCCCAGGCCCAAAACATTGCAAGTCCAACACTGTATCAGGGGAGCGGGGGCTGCAGATGTCATGTCATAGTGCTTCTTTTAGTAGACCCTGCAATCTGTTTGTCTGCTTCGCGCTTGGGCTTCGGCCGCATGTGCCCTTTGGTTTTCAGCGCAATATTTCGAGGGCCGACTCAAATCCCAGGCGGTGGTGTGGAGATGCACGCCCCGTACTGCTCCACCGGGCAACGGCAGAAGGCTCCGCCAGGGGTCATTTTGGTTCGGTTTCTGGGGGGTAGAGTCAGAAACTGGCTGGTTGTTTCCCTTTAACCTAAAATTTAGGGGGTGAGTTGGATGGTGAAATAATGAGGCCAGGGTGACGGGACTTGAGCAGTGGGATCCCGTGTGAACTTTTCATTTTGAGGTTGGCAAAACCTGAGTTGATCAAGAGGTCCTTGTGTCGGCTCATTACGTACATTAAATGTAGGCCAGAATCAAACATATGTTTGGCTGGGGGGCAAACACAGTAGCTGACACCGCCTCAGGATTGCAAGCAAAAGGCCATGTCAGAAACCAACGCGTCACTTGCGTTGCCGGGCTTGCAGACTGGCTTAACATGTGCAGTCGGTTCAAGGCGGGATATGTTTTGTTGAGATTGGACTAGCTGAACCTTGTAGCCCAACATGCTGCTAGAGTTGCCCGGAAACAAATTCGACCCTCGTCTTGCTGCTGCGCTTGCATGAACCTCGGATGTCAATTTTGTCCAAGCGCCAATCACCCACTTGTAGGGCGCCCGAGGAGTCTTGCAAGGATTGGCGTCCTTTCCAAGTTGCTTTGGTTCAAATCGATGGGGTTTGGTTCCAATGATGTACCAGAGCATCTATGCTTCCAAAAGGACATCTAGGCTGGCAAAGTTGGTGTTGTGATAGCGTTTGAAAGACCGTTTTGCATTGCATGTCACAGGCCTTGTTTTGGAGTTGAAGTCGCGAAGCTTAAACCGACACATCCATCAGCCAGTTGAATGGATTTTTATCAGTCGCAGCATTGTCAGCCTGCGACTCATGTATTAAACCAATGACAACATATTTGGCGGAAGCAATTCATTTCGTCATCACCGAGCTTGCTCCAAAACCAACCCGGCCAGGTGATTTGCACTCGCTGCAGTGATGAGAGCATTTTGCCCTTCTGCCAGCCTGGGTACAGGACTGGCCAGAGGTGGTCGACCACGTGTGGTTTGAGCTATTTGGGCTGGTGGTTTGGGTGGAGGGCACTTGATTTCAGCTAGTGCTGGCCATTCAACACTTCCAAGCAACCCCTGAAGGTCACTGACCCAGCTACACTCCCTCAGATTAACATGTTAGCTCCAGAAAACCGCTGCAAATGGAACCAAGCCAAGTCCTGGGAGCTTCCATGTTAGCCTGAGGGTAATCTGGGGTTAGTTGGATTTGTGGACTAAGAATCCAGCATGCCGCAAGTAGACAAGATCTTCAAAATTGTGTTCATGTGCGAGACCTGCACACACACACACACACACCTCTCCACTGACATCCGAACTGTTTTGCTTTCGTCGGCAGTAACTTGAATGACTGATGTTAATTGGCTGTTTTGGGAAACCAAACGAAGCCGTGGAATCGAAGCGCAACTGTTTGACCGCATGCGGCAGGTTTTCTAGCCTGAGAGGGCAAGAACCGATTGCCAGCCCGCATGGAGCCAGTCACCTCGGACAACACGCTTTCCGGTTGGGGGCACTGTGACATCAAGAGGCTTCAAGCTCAAGATAGAGAGTGCGAGGTACGCAACATTGGCTGAGCGCTTATTTGCTGACGTATTCTGACGTATTCTTTTGCGTAGTTTTGGAATTGTAGAAGCTCACGCGGACCATCCAAACTAGATCCCAGCATATTCGGAATTGTAACGCACGCGCACCAAGGCTATGGACTGGACGGTGATTTTGGTGTTTTGCCGTTCAGCTCTCCCGGCTTATTGCTAAGGAAACTCACTCTCCCACTCATCCCACTCACTCTCAGTAATTCTGATTCAGTCCCTCTTTTTCTCTCTCTCTCTCTCTGTCTCTCTCTGACTCTTTTAAGCTTACCACCCGGCCATCCGGCCCAGCCGCCCAACCACCCAGCTCAGCTTTGCTTGCTCGCTCAAGCCCATTCGGAAACAGCGTCGAAAGGCCTTGCTACGCCTGCCCAGCGGTGTTTGGGGGAGGGTGAGCTGACTTTCGCTCGAAGCATTTTTACCGCACATTTGCATCAAGCTACTGACGGCAATTCCTAAACTGGTGCGGCCGGTGTTTTTGACGTCCAGCATCATGCTCTGAATTACCCGGTGACCAGAGTCATGCCCTTGTACTCTCTTGCCCAAAGCCGACCTTTTGACCTTTTGGTTTTCCCATTTTGGTCCATTTTTAGTACGGGTCCCAAAAGGTTAACCTTTTATTTCCAGGTCTTTTGGGCAAGTGAGTGTATCAACCTGTCGTGCCGCAGCCCATTGCTCGTTGCTTGTTCTCGGCAAACGCGAAACATCGCTTTTGGCCAGGATCTTTTGGTCCTCCAACGAGAGTTCAATGGACAATCTGACCGCTCCGAGCAGCTTGGGCTTGGTTTTGCAGAGGTGAAATCGACCCAGTTAGCCCTTGGTGCTACATAGCTTTGTGATTAAGCGTATTCAGCTGGAACTAGCCAACACACTTTTCTCCACCGACGGGCAAGCAAATGGGCCAAACCACAGGCAGACAGACCTGGTTGCGTTTGCCACGTGCCGGCAATTAGCCGTAGCCGAATTACTATTGCGTCACTGGTTCTTCTTGCAGCCCAGGTCTCCAGCATGCAGAACAGGAAGAAAAAACAACACCGGCCACCGCATGTTTCTTAGGCGCGCCCGTGCGCAGTGCCAAACTGGCAAGGCCAAACCTTCGCAGGTGTTGCCAGCAAACGAACGGAAACTCGGAAAGCCAAAAAACCTTCGGTTCAGCGCCGCCTGAAGGGGATCTTCGCGAGCCGAGGCGCGGGGCTTTTCCTGCGCAGCTGCCGCAAGGCGCGCGGTCGCGAATTTTTCGGGTCGTCCGAAGAAGAAGCCGAGCGATGTGGCCCAATGGATCCGAAGAGACGGACTGGGGCCAGTGGGGGAGCAAGCTTTGCCACATGTTAACCCCGGATTCACAAAACCCCTGGTTGATTAATAGGGGGTGTCCCCTTTTAGTGGGGATTCATCACTTTTGGAGGGAACGCCCCCCAAATAGTGGGAGGGGTTTATTAATCCTGGGTCAACTTATGTGAAACTATATGTCGTTCTTGAACTTCTGACCAAAGAGGTGCATAAAAATCACATTGAAAGGTGGCGTGATTGTTTTACGGATGCATCTTTTCAAAGGAGAATGGTTGAAACGGCAAGCAGGTTGGAGGGCATTTGGCGATTGAATTGCTCTCCTTTGCGTGAAGAGACTAGCACACAGCTTGGTGATTAAATTGCACTGCTTTGTATGAAGTGACTAGAGTAAATATACGGGACTTATTTTGGAAGGTACTGATTACCCAGACTACTAGTTCACCGATGTGTGTAGACTTGCATTGGTGTCATGTAGCCATGAATGGCGCTTTGATCTTTTGCCCTGGAGGGTTATGCTCAAGCAGGGACCAAGCAGTTATTCCATTGTTATATTCACATTTCTTTGAAACATGTTTGTGCCCGCCGTTCTGCTCAAACGCGCTGACCTGATGGGAAGCAACACTCGGCTCAGGGTGTCCCTTATGTCTAGTGAACTTGTCCCCCCTGCTTTTTCCGCTGGAAGTCTCAAAATTCCTACCCTTTGTCCGATCGACGTGAAGGTTAGTTGTAACCCCGAATTTCATAAACCCCTGTTTGTTAATAGGGTGTCTCTGGTTTGGGGTTCCTTTCTTTTGGAGGGGCCCACACCCCCTTTTAATCAGGGGTTGATTCATCCGGTCGATTCATCCGTTCTCTCCTTGCCAGGCACGCGAGCCAGAGGCCCCGAAGGCCCCAGAGGCCGAGGCCATCCTTGAGCCAGCTCCGGAGCCAGTTGAGGCGGACACGCCGCCGCGCAAAGCGCCGGGCTTCCACTTTGGGGGCGACGGTGACGAAGGCTCTATGGAGGCGGGGGCGGAAGGGGGGGAAGGGGGGAGGCGATGAGTGCGTCTGTTTCAAGGAGTTTTTTGGTGGTAGGGGGAGCTGCTGGAGGTTTGAGCCAGTATTGTTGCAATGAATGAATCTAGCGGATTCATGAGGTCGTGGTGCCGCAATGTGCCGAAAAGTGAAGGTGTCCCTCCAAATTAGGACACCCCTCTATGACTCAAGATGACATGCTGTCTCAAATGAGGGGCGAACTTGCTGCATTTTGCTGTTGGGATGCAGAAGGAGAGCGACAGAACCGGCCACAATGATCATACTTTCGGCAACAATCTGCCTTCAAAATTGGCGTTGGTATGATTTTGCAGCACGTTGCCTACGGACTCTCCACAGTTGAGCACGCGGAGCCACATTTTTGTCAACACGGCTGTGCATCATCGAAGCTTTCCTGCATTCGAATGGGCTCTTGGATGCTTTTTGACGGCCGATTTCAATCCTTTGGTTCTCCCAGTCTTGATTACAAACGAATTCCTGCAGTGGCAGGCAGCAACTTGGCCATCGCCGACACATCGGCCTGCAACAGTTGTTGCCGGCGGCGCTTGCTCATCTCGAATTGCTTCCATTTGCTCAAGAGTATTTTTATTTTCCCCTGTTGGTTTTAAAGGGAACCTATCACCACTGCAAATAATTATGTTTGTTTGTTCCCGGGGTCTTAACCAAAAGGAAGGTAAGCTCATCTTAAAAGACTCTTTGCTACAGCTCAGACAAGGCAGCAAAACCATGCTCTGAGATGTCAAAGAGAGTCTGCTGAGAGCGTGCACAAGAATACATTTGCCATTTGCAGCTGTTTGATCTGGAACTTTCGCAGCACACCGCGAAACAAAGCCCCCCCCCCCCCCGCACCTGACAAAGCAGCGAGCCACGAGGCCTCTTTCTTTTGAGTAAGGCAGTTTTGCTGGCAAGTCTTTTCGGTCTGCCAGCTTACGATGGTAATGTTCCACTTGTTGGAGCTGGTTATCCACCAAGAACGTCGCAACACTGAGGAGCACCCATCCCAGAAAGTATTTCTGGTGCTACACTGCTACATGCACGTCAGCGCCTCGAATGGCATCAAGTTGTTTTTTGAGAGCACCAATGCACAGTAGACTCCTTGCACCAGGAGGAGTCATACTCTGCAGATATACTCAAAGGAAATGTCACTCGAAGAATCGCCTTGTGGAATCGGACGGCACAGTTCCATCTAACAATGGAGAGTAGACCCTGGCAGAGATGGTAGGTGCTGTACTTCCTTTGTGCCAACGCGCTGGTCTTGGCCGCTTCTGCTTGGCTCTCGGCTGTTTTGGTCGCTTTCGGAGCACTTTTGGTTGATCAACCATATAGCATATTTATGCTATTTGGTTTCCTGTGGGAAACGATGCACTGGTGGATGATATGATTTTCCCACTATGTTTGTCCAACAACCCCCCCACAAGGAACCAGACAGAGATATGTGCGCTCTTCACTTTTCCGGGAAATGTAGTTGCGCACTTTCTTCCGAAAGGACACACCACAAATTAGTATATGTGTTTGATTAACTTTGTCCCGCCCTCCTATTGAACACCCAGTGAAGCATACGTGCTCAGTAGCGGCTGCTGGTTCAATTCACCAAGCACAAGGCTTCCTTGTTCTCAACGCCCAGTCAAGTTGAGAAAACTATCGGGGTCGGACAAAACTTGTTGATTCTCAGTGGAAATGACCTTAGGGTGTTGGGAATGAACCTAAGGATTCCCTTAAAGGAAACCAGGGGATGTTTTTTTTTTTTTTTGTGGGCATTCCAGTTGTGCCTGTCGAACCAGCAGAGAAGAAAAAGAAAAAGAAAAAGCCAGACCGTTCTGCTGGTGCCAGAACCTTAGCATTTTTCGGGGCACCCAAGATTTCGGGGTCAAAATGTGAAGACAGGTCCTCGGAGGCCTGCTGGAGTCGGGAGGTAGCAGGTTCAACTTTGAGATCAACTCAGACAACGGGGTTAAGTTGCCTTCCAGTCGAAAAGCTAAGGCACGGCTTAGACATATGTTTTGAAATGCGCAAATCGTTCAGGGATCTTTTTGTTTTTTTCCATTTGGCAGAACTGGAAAAGATAAGCCTGACGCGCGTCTGTGAGTCTCCTAGCTTGGGAAGCGAAGCAGCCATGAGGGTCTGGCTGAGGTGCCCAGTGTCACATATTGGGTTCGTTTCCTCTAAGATTGCCATGAAAGCAAGCAGCTTGTCCTGCGACAGTCATGAGCCATCCTCGTTTCACGCCTCTGGCCAACAGACAGGATCACACTTGTGTTTGTTTATGTTGGGGGCGCCTTGTTTGGATTGGCGTTAAGCCGAAACCAACAAGGAACGCCACCTTTTTGCGAGTACCCACTCCCCTTGGACCCCCAACAATTGCTGCGGCATTCCTGTTGGTTTCTCTTGAAACTCCTCAAAAAGGGGATTCCAAAGACGAGCCGCCCACTCCCCATTTGTTCAGATGGAACCCAGGATTCCAAAAGGAGATTCCTCCAACAATGAGGTTTAGTGAAGTTCCATCAGTAGTTTTCAACATTGATGTTTCTGAAACCAAGGGACACCCCCATATATATATATATTACTCAGATAATAAATATAGGTTGATCAATTCCTGGCCTTGAAATGACCATGCGTAATTTGCCATTGTGTGGGAAATGTCATCTTAGTGGCTTTCCCAATGGTCATCCCATGAAAAGCAAGCATTTTAATCAGCCCCCCAAAATAGAGGTCTATTCATCCGTTGAGATTAGCCCCTTTGGTTTCCAATGCCTCGTCCAATGCTACAGCGTGGCGTCGCTTCTCCGCGTCGGCTCCGAGGCCTGGTCACTTCGGCGTCAGCAGCAGAAGCAATGGGAGCCTTCGCCGTGGATCGTGGTTGGTACCGGGAAACCGACTCGCAGGGCAAATCCAATCGAAGACAAACCACTAGACCACTGCTTGTTGGATGCGGGGGGGATTTTGGACATGGTTGAAGAAGCGGTTGTTGTTGGGACCCGGCAACAGGGGTTTCCAATTGATCTCCCTGCAAAGCTACAAGGGTTCTTTGAATGAGAAGAATCCTGAAAGAGGCCGGTTGCCATTTGATCTTTCTTTAACCCGCTCGAAGTGAGTGCCGCACCCTGCGCACTCGCACACTGTCACCAAGGGCGCACTTCCTAGAGTGCCTCACCCTCATGGTGCCCTGTCAAAGCCAATTTTAACCTGCAGGTTTACTTTTTAACCCTAGGCAGCATTCAAGGGGTGCGTGTTCTGTTGGACTCATGTTCCATCCCAGTGCAAATGGCAAGGAGAAGACCATGCAAGGCCTCTACGAATGCGTGGAGGCTGGCCTTTGTGTCGAAAACCGTGCTCACGTTCCGGGGACAGGTGGAAGACCCACATTTCATCGGAGGACGTAGGTAGTCAGGGAGGATCCCCACCCCCTGAAAATGCAATTGGGGGAGCGGGGTGACCCTTGGAATTCCATTTATGGTTCCATGTTCCCTTTTCTGGGGTAGGGGGGGTCAGGGAGGCATTTGCCTTGCGACATCCAAATAAACTCCGGCAATGCGACTTTCTGGACAGGGCACAACAAAGGATTGGATCCGTGCAGCTGCGTCTAGCTGATCTGGTTTGGTTCTGCAATTGGCTCTAGCAATGTGATGAGCAACTTGAAAAGCAATAACAACAAAAACATACAAAAACCCTCAAGAGGTGAAAGCAGACATCTTTTTGGCAGTTCATGATAGCTTGCCCGCGACCCCCAACAGACAGCTGATTGCGATTGGGCAAATGAGAGGTCGCAATGCTGATTGGGTCGTTCAAAGAAGTTTACAAGCAGAAGACCGAGTAGACCAGTAGGCCACAGGCCTGTCAGCCATACAAAGTGGTTTCTTGGTGACTCCCGCTGCTGGCCACTGTTTTGTGCAGGCGCTTGACAGGATCATAATCACTCCCCTGATGTTGTTTGCCCCAGAGAAAGATTAGGGTATTCCGTGTTGCCATTTTGCTTGGAGGGGACTTCCCTTAAAACCATTCTTCAAGATGGTACCGAATTTTGGTGTTTTTGACTTTTCTTTTAAGGAACACCAAAAGGAAAGCCGTTGCGGACACCATTTTGGGGGCTCCTGTGACCAAACGGGTGGCCCTTTGGCCGTCTCCAGGACGGCCTGGCGTCAGGCGGGACCTCGCGACCTTTTTTTGGGCGAGACCATTGTAGTGTATTCGAGTCATGGTTGATGTTGGTAAACATGTTTCCCATTTTTGCTTATTTTGACTTAGTGGTTGAAATCCCCACTTAATGAACTGCTAAAATTAAACCCCTTCGAACGTCAACCAAGGATTGGCCAAGAACATGCTTGTGCTTTTTTGGCTAATTCATCCAGGTGAGTCATAGCTGCACTGGGTTTCTAAAACGTAGAAGTTTGCCCGTTCAAAAAAACCCTTTCCACTAGATCAAACAAAGCCCAACAATTGGAGGGCCCAATGTTCCGGCGGATGATGTAAGTGCTTCTGTTGGGCGGTTCCTTTTTGAAATTTACTCCAGGCTTCACAATTCGAGATCAGCTGTTTGAAGATCCACCAAATTGGCGTGATGGGTTTTGGCGCGGATGCTTTGGGCGGCTCCCGGCTATACTCTTAAACTTTTTGACTGGAGTTTAGAAGGGTGTATTACAAGCCAGGGATCGACGAACCACGAATTGTTGCTGAGATGACTTTCTGCGTGGAGAGCGAGGGCTGTTTTTGTCGGCTTTTAGAGCTCGGAAGAGCTGAAGGCTGGCAAACGGCTCATTTCTCCAGGACCCACGTTTCGGAGCCTTACAACAGGGGGGTCCTAGTTTGGATCACTTTCCTCTTGGGACCGAGTTGCTGGGTTCAAAGGCAACATGGACAGGAGGGTATAGGGACACTCCCGGGTTTGAACCACAGTGCTTATTGGGGGATTCGAGTTCTTTCGCAATAGGCAAATCTCGGAAGGCCATTGCATCGACCTCCCATCAGCCACCTCATCTTTGCTGGTGCAAGTCTTTTTGACGTTCACGCTGGGAAGCAAAGCCGCTTGTCCATCTCACCCCGTGTAGCAACTTTGTTGCTATCTTTGATGTCATGGATAGTCCACTGATGAGGAAAATATGAATCTAGGACTCTAGGAGAAACTGTCAAATTCGTTCCAGGGGTTCTTCTTTTCAGACAAAGCACTTAGGGGCAACGGCTGTGTCTTGAACATAGCAATGCTTGAAAGGATGTTCGAATCAACCCACGGGCAACAACCACTCATTTCCATTGCGGTGTTTTTGTTGTTTGGCAGTGGCAGCCAACTTCAGGCAGCCAAGAAACCACCCAACGGATGAAGCTCTCCACCACTTCGG